AAGCGATTGTCGAGAAAAGTCGTCAATCGCATATCGGTCATATCAATTTAAGCGACTCATACGACACCCTTCCCCCCTCCCACCATAACACCACTTCTACCAATGCGATTGTCGAGAAAAAGTCATCAATCACATATCGGTCGTCTCACACGACACCCTTCCCCCTCCCCCCATAACTATCAATGCGACTGTCGAGAAAAGGTCACCAATTACGTATCAGTCGTCTCATACGACGCCCTCCCCCCTCCCCCAATAACCACGCACCACTTTTATCGACTTGAAAACGTTATGAAGGCGTTATGAAGATTTCTTTGGATCTTGGTAGCAGGGAATAACATTCCGAGAGGAAATTGCAGGGATCACGTTAAGCACAATATACGTATTAGTATGCACAATATATATACAAGTAATTCGATTAAAATAGTAAATGAGATTAATACTGCACCCACACCTATGGAATAATGACTTAACTATAGAATAAAGTCTTGACAAAGACCCCACACATTATTGTTCTTGTTAAAAGATCGCTTATGTTGAATTGCATGTGTGAATTTATCCGGATTGGGAAAGATACAGAACGTCTTTGGAAATTTGTCTATTTTGTCTATGACTGGTTTTTGAACAATGCTGTGAGTATAGGGCAAGACCAAAATTAGCCAGCAAATTAGAAAGTCAGATGTATGTTAATAAAACTAAGTGTGGGAATACTAACGAAACTAAACTAACTGCTAAATAAATTGTACGGGAACTAGCATCGGAATGGTAACACCAATATCAGAGAAAACGTATAAGAGATTGCAGTTATAAATGGTCGACTCCCTTCTTCGAAAATTCCGATTACGAAAAGAATATATATCGATAAAATAGTGGTATATAAACCAATAAAAACAAAAACAAATAACGCCGTGGATATTCTGCCAATACAAGGCGATAGTTCTAATGCTAGAATGGCCTAATAATTTTTGTAAAAGAGGAAGTAGCATCCCTGCCCCCAGACTGATGAACCCGGGTGCGGCGAGGACGCCCCTTATCCCACCGAGGGCGTTGCATATACTTTAAGCTGTAATAGTAAGTAAATCCTAGATACTTAAACTGCGAGTCGCATAAATCGCAAATGGAATTTCCTATTATTACTGATTGACACCCATTTCAGATGCTAACCGCTTAACTCTATTCATGACTTCTAGGACTAGAGGATTTTATTGGATTAACGAGCGCTTAATGGGTGTAAACGCATACTATTCCGACCAGACCAATGTTCTAGGTTGAATAGCAAAAAACTGACACGCGGAATCGAAGAAGACCACATGCGATGACGTAATGAAGTCTAGAAAACAGTTTCATATTTCAATGAGATGGATTGGAAGCGATAGGAGATCTGATCTCGTAGTTCTGCAAAGTCTCGATTACTAAAGGTTAGAATTAGCCGTCTTAGTCACTGGATATTCACGTGTTATTTTCTACCTAATCTTATTGACCAAGTTTTTTTAATAGAAATATGGCAATAAAATACCGTTGATATCAGTCACCAATGGGGCGCATCTGTTCATGTTAATACTTGCGAGAGCAAGTACAGCAGGTAGCAATTATTTCCGGAGCATGTTGAAGGCCCTGGAAAACGAAGTAAACGCAGGAAGATCGTCGCAAAGTGTCATTACTATATTCGGTAAGAGAATTTGTAGCTGTGAACTTTTTACTACTTAATCTGTTGTGACAAACACCGCAATCTGGCTATAACGTCTAGGAGCGGATTGTATGCGATGAAGAAACACCGCGCGACTTAGAGTGATGCTTTCACCATTTGCCTGTAAGAGGCAAACAAATCGTTGAGGATATTTGAAATCTATCAACGTAACTAAGGCCGATTACCGCAGACTCAACAGACAGGCCTCCCGAAGGTGGAATGACGAAGGTCCCGCTGTTAGAAGACATTTTGCCTTTTGCAAAGCTTTATATAGGCGCAGCCAAAGGAGTGGTGAGCATAGTTCTCACATATTGTGTATTACTACTTATATTGTTCACTAAAAGTCGTTTTCTCGTTGAATGTTACAGCCACGGCCATCGTAACATTGTACCAGACATTAAGACGTGTGAGGAAGTATTGTAAACCGACTGTAAAAAAGTATGATGAAGTCGTTCAAGTTTGCATCAACGAACATCTTGTCTATTTCACTCATAGGCTGTTGCATCACAAATATGAGCGAGTGTTCCATAGAATTAATATATGTTGTTTTATTTTTCGTCTCCTCTTCATAGGGCATTCACAGAATATGACTCCATTCGGCTTTTGTCCCAGTTGGTACTTGAAACCGTACAGGCAGAACTGGTTTCATTGTAAACAGGTAATAATTTTGATTACTTGTGGTTTATATAATTTTCGCACACTTATATGTATAATAGCATTAACTTTTATTCGTTCAATGAATAGCGCTCCGGTAGCTGAAGCTCGAGTTGATGCTTCGCCTTTTTATTCAGTCGGTTTCTGTAACGTGCTTCAGACAATAGATGTTGACTGAACCTTATACGTCCTAGCAACGAAAGAGAAAGGGTTGAGCACATTCGCCAATTCGTTGTATTTATTTCAATGATATGTTCACGTTTCCTAGAAGGCCCAACACTCTCGACCGGCAGGCAAGGCCAAGTATGTGTTCGGTAAAATTGTTTCATCACTTGCTCCAAAGAAAGCTGGATAAATATGGCAAGCATTGGCTGACACAATTTCACTTTTCAGGTTGCATTTTACGGCTACAACTGCTCCAACCTCCATCTGATAGCGCTATGCACGCGTTAGTCGCCTTCAAGTACAGACTATTTACCGCAATAGCTACTGCCTCATGCCGCTTACGTTGCTCCTGTTGATATCGAAGCAAATGCGTAAATGTTGTCTGACAAATCATAGTCATTAATTTCCGAAGAAGAACGCGTGCAGAAAGACAATTGAAGTTGATCTAAATTGGCTAAATCGAGTCTTTCTGTCTACTGAAAGTATGACAATCTACATTTAACAAGGCGATGTATGAGATGTCAATAAATTTGGGTGAATAGAAACTTATTACCTCATGTCCATTTACGTTGACAAAGAGTTGCCAGTCGCATGATGTGTACCTAATCTTTACTGCTTGTTCATTCTTTCCGTGCCCAGGGTGATAAATAATCGAAAGCCTATCGGGCATTTGCAAATTGTATCCGTAATATGTTATGACTCGATATCTTTATGTATTCTGTATAAGGCATTTATGTCGCCTAGTAAACCCCTTCAAGGAAAAGTATGGCAACTATAGCTCCCTAAATTCTGTTTATATTTAAACAAGAAATTTAATTTTCTTGGTATAGTCTGATGACATTGGAACACTACGAAAATAGTAGAATCATACGATATTAATATGCAAGAAAACAACATTCCGATTGCGAACAAGAATTCCGATAATATATCCTCACGTATGCGCGTCAAGCTTTCTTATTGCCATCCACGGGAACATCTGGCGAGTAGTGAAGGATTCCTATGGATGATAACCAACAATTGAAGATATTAATTCTTAGTAACAAACACTCAATTGGTCAACATTATTCATTTCGTTTCCTTCTTACCAACTAAATATGTGATCGAAGATAACAGAGCTGCCTCCAATATATTCACGTTCGGTGCTCGAGAAAATCTTGGTTCATATGGTGGCCGTTGGGCGTGTGAAGGACTAAGACTCCATCCAGCCTATTTGAACTATTATAGAAGTTAATATTAAAGACAACAATCTATACCACACGGGCGCATGACAAAATAATATCTCATAGACAATTTTCTGGGTTTCGTCCGATCCATATGGATTTGGAAGAGCCATGCCTAATTACATCGCGGGAAAGGATTCCGAAAATGATACTAAAAAATGACGTTTCCCCTGCTAATTATTCCTTCCAAGTTTTATTTTTACTGAAAATGGACATCGAATGGGAAATACAGTAAATTTAGATGAACATTGATGTGATGATTGAGCCGAAACGAAACTGAGCATTCGTTGCAAGATTGTACAGAATACTAAAACACTGCTACATGTAACTAGAAGTACAATGCAAAGTTCTAAACGAATGATTGATTTAGTCGCGAATTGATTGAAATTGAAATTGCCGAAATGCTAACCTCGGCAAGAATAAGTTTGAAACATCTCAGCTATTTTTGTATAAAATAACATATTAAGGACCATATCGTAAATTATAATAGCAAATCTGAACATTGCTTCCCTACAAGACGATTGTACATAATTAATATTAATATGACGCTAGACGCGCAAAAAATTCTTTACCCTTTAATAACTATATCTGACTATTACATGCAAGATTGTTATAAAGAGTAATATACAGGATATCGCAAAAATTCGTATCTACTACCTGCCCACAAAATTGGCTAAGTAAATGCGTAAACACTGAAACGCGAGGTAGATAATTCCTCTTTTTTTTTTTTCATTTGTTAAATAAAGCCTGTCTGTTTCTTAGCCGGTGATATGGACGCGCATATAAGGATAGTACATTGCGAGGGGGTTGTCTTCGTAAAGTTGATTTGTTTTTACGCTTGCTAATATTGACGCTAGATCGAGTAGGCGTAATGTTTGATGATCGAGTAGACGTGACGCTTGGTGATTGAATAGACGTGACGCTTGGTGATTGAGTAGACATTACGCTTGGTGATTGAGTAGATGTAATGCTTGATGATTGAATAGACATTACGCTTGGTGATTGAGTCGACGTGATTACGCTTGGTGATTGAATAGACATTACGCTTGGTGATTGAGTCGACGTGATTACGCTTGGTGATTGAATAGACGTAATGCTTGGTGATTGAGCAGATGTAATGCTTGATGATTGAATAGACATTACGCTTGGTGATTGAGTCGACGTGATTACGCTTGGTGATTGAGTCGACGTAATGCTTGGTAATTGAATAGACGTGAATACGCTTGGTGATTGAATAGACGTGATGCTTGGTGATTGAGTCGACGTGATTACGCTTGGTAATTGAATAGACGTGAATACGCTTGGTGATTGAGTCGACGTGATTACGCTTGGTGATTGAGTAGACGTAATGCTTGATGATCGAGTAGACGTGACGCTTAGTGATTGAGTAGGCGTAATTCTTGATGATCGAGTAGACGTGACGCTTGGTGATTGAATAGACGTGGCGCTTGGTAATTGAGAAGACGTGGCGCTAGACGTGATTACGCTTGGTGATTGAATAGACGTGATTATGCTTGGTGACTGAGTAGACGTAATTATGTTTGGTGACTGAGTAGACGTGAATACGCTTGGTGATTGAGTAGACGTAATTACGCTTGGTG